CAAAAGAAGAAAAGCCAGAGAGCTCATAAAATCGGAACATTTTAAATAATTGTTATTGCATTATTTTCATATGTGAATAGCCATATAATATATTATTTATAAAAGCACACGACCTTATACACAAGGTTATATGCAAATACCCTCTGGGGTGGAGCTGGCTTAGCTCGGGGAGGAAGTCCTGCCGGAGAAGGCTGCCGCTTGGATTACACTCTTCTTTCTTTCAGCCCGGCAGCTGAGCACACCTTCTGTCACTCAGGGCGTTCGGGGGTGGGGCCCTAAACGTCATCCAATCAGAGATGCTGTTCTGGGAACTGTCCAATCAGGCACGCGGCTGGAGCGGACAGGCTGGCTTCCGGATTTGGCGGGGCCTTTGTCTCCGGCTGCAGCCGGAGCGCCCGCTCTTCTCTTCAGTGCTGCGTCCTCTGCTCCTGGAGGCCCGGCCTCCGTGGCCCGGTTACCCGCAGGTACTGGGAGATGCACAGCTAAGACGCCGGGAACCCCTGAAGCCTAGAAATGGTGAGCCTGCCGGGTCCGACATCCCGGGAGAGGGGGAGGGCCTGGTTGGAACTGGTCGGAAGTGACTGGCGGGACTCGGGCCTCCCCGCAGTCGGCTCCAAAATCCGCGGCCCGAGTTCTCCTCGGCGAGCCCGGCCCTCAGTCCCCTTCGGACATAAGATGGCGGCTGACAGCCGGACCCCGGGCGTCCTGTCTCCTCCCTGCGCAGCGACTCTGCCCTGGCCTGGAGCCCTCTCCGGGCAGCTCTGCACCCGCAGCGCCGCATCTCTCCCCGGCTGTGCGGGGACCACGGGAGGGTCGTCCGGGGAGAATCCTGACGCGGGGTGCGGGGTTCATGAATGGGAAGAGCTTTGGTCCATGGGGTCCCAGTCCCTCCTTTTTTCTATTAAAAATTCATGGAAGTCACTGGAAAAATATTTAAAAATGTAATAGAAGTGTGGTTCAAAAATTACAGAGCACCCGGCTATGATTTGTAGTTTGTGGTCCATGGGAGGGGCTTGAAGGAAAGACTTCAGAGAGGTGTGCGATGAATAAAACCAAATTCAATTAATACGTTAGGTGCAGTTACATAGCTTCTTAATTTGTAAGATCAGGGTGCAGATTTCCTGATTATGTAGTCAGAGGGTGCTTGGCAGCTTACGGTTGGTTAAGCGTGAATTTTATTTCCCCCAGTGTAATAATTTACAAAAAACAGTGTATTCGAGTTAGCTCTTTCTAAAAAGAGAAATCTAGGGACTGGAGCCACCTCAGTCTAATTGCCTGCCACTTAATTATTTTCACACTCCACAGGGGACTAATTTTCCCCTGTGCATTTTTTCACCTGTGTCCCCAAGCAGACTCTCAAGACTGCTCCCCATTCCGCATTCCTCCAGCCTAACTCTGACTTGCAGTAAAATACTAAATTTCCACATTCTGACATTTTCAAATGTCAATTTCTTCTCCCTAATTCGCATTATTAGTTATTTATCCTTTATTGTACATTTTTGATACTGTAATTAATTTTTTGAGAAATCATTGGATGGTGCTTTTTAAAAGATTTGTTTTCTGTTTGTAAGAATTTTCTGTAAGAAAAAAGCAAAGACTAATCCCCAGACACTGCATTCCTGTGCCTCTTTTCCTTTTATATTCCCTAGGCACAGAGATCTTTTTTTTTTTTTTTGGAGACGGAGTCTCGCTGTGTTGCCCAGGCTGTAGGGCAGTGGGACGATCTCAGCTCACTGCAACCTCTGCCTCACGGATTCAAGCAATTATTTGCCTCAGCCTCCCAAGTAGCTGGGATTACAGGTGCCCACCTCCACACCCTACTAACTTTCGTGTTTTTTTTTTTTTTTTTTTTTTGAGTCGGGAGTTTTGCTCTTGTTACCCAGGCTGGAGTGCAATGGCGCAATCTCGGCTCACTGCAACCTCCGCCTCCTGGGTTCAGGCAATTCTCCTGCCTCAGCCTCCTGAGTAGCTGGGATTACAGGCACGCGCCACCATGCCCAGCTAATGTTTTGTATTTTTAGTAGAGACGGGGTTTCACCATGTTGACCAGGATGGTCTCGATCTCTTGACCTCGTGATCCACCCGCCTCGGCCTCCCAAAGTGCTGGGATTACAGGCGTGAGCCACCGCGTCCGGCCACTTTCGTGTTTTTAGTAGAGATGGGGTTTCACAATGTTGGCCAGGCTGGTCTCAAAATCCTGACCTCTTGATACGCCTGCCTCCGCCTCTCAGAGTGCTGGGATTACAGGCGTGAGCCACCCACCCTGTGGCACAGACATCTTATCAGAATTTTTGAGGGTCAGGGTTTCCCTTTGGAAGCTTTATAGGGTGATGTGTCCTCAACCATCCATCAGATTTTTCCTGGTCTTGGCTTTCAGTACTGTCTGGGAATAAACCATGATACCCACCATGGCTATGTCTGCTAGAATGTCTAATGAGTATCAGCTCCTGGGTCATTTTCTTCCATAGGACAGCCTGAGGTACGAAGTGTAGCCTCTCAAGGGAGTAGGTGGATGCCCTGGGCTGAGAGGAATCTCCTGATGTACTCAACCAGTGGAAAGTTGATCCTTTGAGACATTAAGATTGTCTTCACCCAATTAAGCTTCCATTTCTTGGGGACACATTTCTGGTCAATCAGATGCTGGTGTTGAGGGAAAAATACAAATAATTCTGCCCTTTGGATCCTCTAAGGGGTGCAGAAAAATAGGGAAAAATATGATTAAAAAATAGTGAAAGACAAATAGTGAAAAATTTGTAATGGAAATTAAAAGGTAAGAAAATATTTACAAATGATATAAAAGAGGTGAGTTTCAAAAAAATCGATATCTAAGTGTATTCTATTTGTTAGAACTTCTCATTTACTATTTTGTTTTCCAGACTGAGTTTTGTAATGGTCACGGGTGGTTTTTTTATGGCTAGGTAATTTCTTTTCTTTTCTTTTCTTTTCTTTTCTATTTTTTTTTTTTTTTTTTTTGAGACAAAGCCTCACCCTGTTGCCCAGGATGGAGTGCAGTGGCACAATCCTGGCTCACTGCAGCCTCTACCTCCCAGGTTCAAGAGATTCTCCTGCCTCAGCTTCCCGAGTAGCTGAGACTACAGGCATGCACCACCATGTTCAGCCAATTTTGGTATTTTTAGTAGAGACGGGGTTTCACCATGTTGGCCAGGCTGGTCTCAAACTCCTGACTTCGGGTGATCAACCCACCTTGGCCTCCCAAACTGCTAGGATTACAGGCGTGAGCCACCACCCAGCCTTAGCTGGGTAATTTCAAACAGAATTCCTAGCTTTAACTTTTAGAATGCTAGAAAATAGAGGAAATCTCTTTTCCGTTTGGGCTTTAGAAAATAAATACATTTCCGGCCAGGTGCAGTGGCTCAGGCCTGTAATCCTAGCACTTTAGGATACCGATGGGGGCAGGTCAATTCACCTGAGGTCAGGAGTTCGAGGCCAGCCTGGCCAACATGGCGAAACCCTGTCTCTACTAAAAATACTTAAATTAGCCGGGGTGTTGGCGCATGCCTATAATCCCAGCTACTTGGGAGGCTGAGGCAAGGGAATCTCTTGAACCCGGGAGGGTGGGAGTAGGGGAGCAGGCCTAAGCAAAAAAGCAAAACTCTGTCTCAAAAAAAAAGAAAGATAAAAAAGAAAAGAATATATTTCCACAAGAAAATGTGGTAGATAATTGGTGAAGTTACAAAGATTCATAAAAACATTAGTTCCTGTTTTCGAAGGGTAAATTTGTGACCGTGAATATTTCTAGTCTATACCCTGTTATCTTGATTTCTGAGTTTCATGCTAAATTTTATGAGATGAAACTTGGTACCTTCTAGAAGTGTTTCCATGTGACTGTTTACCTCATAATTTTTAATGGAAATAATAAAACAGCACATTTATTGTTTAAAGGAATACTTTTGCTTTTCTTATTGAGATGTAAAATATAAGCATCTTTTAAAAAGTCCTCCCCTTCTATGAACACTGTGTTTGAGTTATTTTGCTGGATTTACTAACTCTTAGTTTCAAAAGCCAAGTAAATAGCTCAGACGTGAAAATTAAAGCTTGAGCCAAGTGGCTCGAAGCTAAGGCTGATAAATTGAGCTTGCGAAAGGAGGCTGTTAAAGGCTCAATTCTTTCTGGAGATCCTCTGCTGTGGATGTCCCAGGCTTCTCACCCCAGCCGTAGAAGAAGCCTTTATTCTGAGAGAAGCTACAGAGCCCTGGCAAGCTGGGGACCCACAGGCAGATGCAGCTAAGGTTAAGATGGAAGGGGATTGGCAGGGTCTTACTGAAGATGAAGTTGTTACTGTTTTGAGGTAGTTTCTAGACCTTGTAAAATAAAACACAGATGTATGTAAAAAAAAATACTTGAATTCCAAAGGAAGAAGCACCAACTATAAATCTTTTTTTTTTTTTTTTTGAGACGGAGTTTCACTCATGTTACCCAGGCTGGAGTGCAATGGCGCGATCTCGGCTCACCGCAACCTCCGCCTCCTGGGTTCAGGCAATTCTCCTGCCTCAGCCTCCTGAGTAGTTGGGATTACAGGCACGCACCACCATGCCCAGCTAATTTTTTGTATTTTTAGTAGAGACGGGGTTTCACCATGTTGACCAGGATGGTCTCGATCTTTTGACCTCGTGATCCACCCACCTCTGCCTCCCAAAGTGCTGGGATTACAGGCTTGAGCCACCGCGCCCGGCCTATAAATCTTTATAAAGATTGCAAAGTTTAGGCAGACAAGGGCTTTCTTTCGTAGGAAGAAGCAAACAAGATGAAAAGAAAGTGGGTGGAGAATGGCAAATTGAGGGTCAAAAAATTAGATTTTAGATTAGCAAATGTTTTACCCTGAAGTCAACACGTTCTTAGGAGGGGCATAAAATGGGGTTCTGTTTTGGCTCAAACTGAAGGAAGCTCAACATTCAGAAGCCTGTGGGAAGGAGAGAAACTTAAGTAAAGTTTGATTTTAAAAGTATTTTATTTTGAAAATTGAAGGCAAATTCAGCTAATTTTTTATAAGGAAAAAAATGTGCGGAGTCTCTTTCCGGCTGTGACAAGTAAGAAAAGAGCACCCACCATCTAAGTCATAATGGGAAGGGGGTTTCTTTCCATAAACTGTTCCTGGAGAACCCAAAGGATGGAGAATTTTGTTAATCACAGCTTTTTACCAGGAGTATCCATGTGCTTCATCTTTCCCCACTTCAATTTTTTGTCATCCTATACCTTTCTTCCATTGACTTTTTGGGTCTTTTGCTTTTCCTGGGTGTATCTTTTATAATAAACTAGTCAACATAACTACAGTGTTTTGTTTAGTTCTGTGAGAAGCTCCATCATATTATATAATTGGAGGGAGTTTATAAGAGTTTCCAATTTCTAAACAGTAGTTAGAAGCATAGATGAGCCTTTGGGGTTTGTGACTGGCATCTGCAGTGAGGACAGTGTTGTGGGGCTCAGCCCTGAATCAGCGTCTGTGCTGATGCTGGGTGGTGTCAGAATTCAAATATTAGACAACTAGTTGGTGTTGG